CTGGGTGGGCGCGGGGCCCTGTCACCCGGAGGTGCCCGGCCGGGGTCAGCCGGTGGTGACCGGGACGGGACGGGACGTGCCAGCACCACTCCTGCTTGGGCCCCTGCCCCCCCCCGCCGGTGTCCGCTGCCGGGGAGGCGTTCAGGGTGCCCTTCTCAGGGGAAGAGGGCTGGGAGTTACCGCCCGAAGCAGGGCTTACTGCAGGGGTGGAGGTAGGGTGGGTCTGTGGTAGTGCACAGCTGAACTCTGCAAAGAGATGCTAAAATCCTGCACAAGGCGAAATTTTCTCTGAACGTGTTTTCATTGTTTCAGGAGTCTCCGAAGTCTACCAAAAGCACCACAAAGCCTGGCAGCAGCAGTAGCGGGAAGGATGGTGGGGCAGAGAATTCGGAAGAGGTAAGGCTTTCACCTCGGATACAGCAGTGTGCGTGTGCAACTCATCTTTGAGGAGGAATAACATCTTTCATTCTAGCTACTTCAAGCTGCTCTGCCAGATAATGTACGTCACCGGGATCTTAAGGAATCAGAGAAGACGGTAGCAAAGACTAAAGTTAAGATGAAGTTAGTTCCCCTTGAAAGTTGGCCCAAAGGGAACGATGACTATGGAGGAGACAGGATGAGTCTCATACCCTACAGCCCTGCAAAAAGAGATTTGGCACGAAGCTGACAGTGAGCACTGCTCACAGAGGTGGGCAGAGCGTGGTAAAGTTGGCTGCAGAGAGGGAAGAGCCACGGTTATCAAGAAGGAGGACGCCTGACAGACGGGAGCAGCTTCCTTGCTCCTGTCAGAGCAGAGCGCAGTAAACTGTTGTCACCTTGTGTCAGAGTGGGAGAATAGTGAGAAGCAATAGAAAAGGAACGTATTCTTCTGAGGCATTTTCTGGGCGAGTGAGATTAGGAAGAAATGGGTAGGACACCTGAAAGAATAGAGGTAAACTGCTAGAGATTAAATGGTTCTCCTTTGGTATAACAGCCTTGTTGCTGAACACAACATTACTCACAAGAAGGCACAGTCTGTATTCCCAGCTGTGCAGAGTCTTTCGCTCTCAATTTTGATGCTGCCAAACTAGATGTGTTAGAATGGCCTCAGCAGAATGTGGTAATATGATAAGCTGTGCTTAGAATTAGCAAAAATTTGGGTAAACTGGAACTTTTCTGGTAGACTTGAGTTTGTCCGGCACTCAAACGGTGTGGTTGTGGATTTTGAGACTTGGCTCAGAAGAGTGTTGTACGCCTGTCCAAGGAAGCATGCATATGCGTGTGGTTTATTTTTTTTAATACTGCAATTTGGCAAACAAGCTGTGCCACTTCTATGTCCGTAGAAGCCTGTGTGCTCGAGTCTTGTCTGGAACACGTTGCACTTGTAATTTGGAGGATTGGGCATAGGAGACATGTAAGGCTAATGAAGACTAGGAAGAAATCTGTAGTTCAGTGGGATGGTCATAGTCAAAATAAGGTTATTTTAGAGTCTCCTTCAAAGCATAGATCTGTGTTGCAGAGCCTCAGAAAATATCCCTACTACTAGCCGCTCGGTTTCAGGGTCCAAGCCGTGCTCATGCCTAAGCTGCTGTGTGGCCAGCGAGGAATCAGAAGCTGAGTTTGTTTGCCTTGCAGCAGGTAGCAGTTTTGTAGATCCTCTTTTTATATCCCATCCTGGTCTTGGCCTCTGCCCATTTTATTTTGTGTATACAGCTGAAAACAGCTTGCTGGGAGAGCTGTTTGCCGACTCCGAGGAAGTGAGAGAACTCCTGCCTTGGCATCATGGGGTCAGGCTTACCTTTTATTTATTTGGCACTCTTTGTCTGCTGAGTTCACAGCTCTGGGAAGAGGAAGGAAAGCCTGGGTCTTGCAATGCAAGGGTGATGGATAGCCATCAAAGCAGAGCACTCTGATGTCCCCATCCAGATCAGCGGTGGGCTGTGATGCTGCCCTCCTGGTTACAAGTGGTGCAGTAAGAAAGGAAGAATAGTGCAGGCTACAAGCTTCCTTCTGTGACCTGAAACGGCACATAGTGTCTGGTTGTGCCTGGGTGCAGAAGAAACTTAGAAGTGATGCGTCTAACCTTCCCTCCCACAAAACATACCCAGCCACTTCCTCATACTCCAAACAAAATCCAGCCCTTCTTTAAGATGGAAGGCTGGGTCTCCTTTGATCATAGGAACAGAGAGCAGAGCAGAAAGGAGGCACCTCTGCAGAGTGCACTGCCACAGGTCTCTTCTCCCTTTCCCTGTTGAGTTTGCAGGGAAGTTTGTTCTCTCTTGGTGCTTTCCTGTCTCTGGACTGCTCTGCTGCAGAATGGAAGAGACCTCTTTGCTTGATAAGAAGAAATGTATACCAGTCTGAATGCGATTTTCCTGCTCTTCAGGAAGCACAGAAAGGTATTTTGACTTTCACATTGGGGGACCGTGAGGAATGAGGTAACGTGTGTGGGAGCGAGACTCCTTCCTCATGTCAGAAGCAGGAGGTGGTTTGACTCGTGAAACACCAGGAGTGGTATTGCCTGGTGGGGTTGATGGGCTGAGCCTAGCCTGGATGCCTCTGCTGCCATTGTGAGAGTTTTCTGCCCTGTAAATTCCTCCATGGAGTTATGGTTGGTTGGTTGCCTTTTCTAGGGTGAAAGTTGTGTGCACCAAAGAATTTTCTTTTTTCTTCATATCTCAATAGATGCTTAATGGGCTTGCAGCAGGAGAGCAGCATTTGGGCAGCCCTCTTCCAGCATGCGCTTTCCTCTCTCACACCATGCTCCAAGGAGCAGGGGAGGACTCAGCCCTAATTTTTCCTGGTACCAGAAAGTTGTGACTTGTTTTGCAGGCAAGTTGTCTGGCTGGTGGAATGAGTAAAGCTTGTTGAAGAGCGGCTCTGGTTTCACAGATCTGAGCAAGTGCAGCGGATGAGGACCTCCTATAGGGATCTCTGTGGAGGGAGATAAAGAGGGTAGGAGTCAGTCCAGAAACCCTTAAGCATAATTCTTTGTTCTCTGCAGCGAAGGAGCTTTTAGTGGAGCTGATCTGGAAGGGCAGATATGTTCAAAAGCAGATGCATCCCCACAAGGAAAGGCAAGTGTTTGAGTTCCCTCGTAAGTACAGGGGTAGGGCAGTGTTCTTTTAGGTGCCCATCTCAGGGTGAAGCTATCTGAGGTGAAGAGCCAGCAGAGCTTGGCCAGCCCCTGGCTTTGTGGGGGCAGTTTGCTCAGGAAGAGACAGGAGCAGTGGAGGAAAACACGGGAGCAGGGAGGGGGAACTAAAAGGTTTGTTTAGTTCGTTCCCTCT